ATTTTCAGTGTGGTTTCATAATGCAGTGGAATCAAGACCGCTACAAGCGTTACACATACTTGGCAAACCGTGTTCATAAACTGCACTACATAGGTATGTCTTATACTTATACAAGTTTTGATAGTCTAGTGGTCAAAGAATGGGTTTAATGATCTCAAGGTTCTTGGTTGTTCTCAGTCTGATGCTTTATTTTATTCTTTTTACATTTTTTGGTTAAAAGTTAAACCCATGAATTTAGATCATGATTTCAACTCGGATGATTTATGATTTTGGGAATGTTTGCTGCGTTACACAAAAGTTGCTCATGATATCATGAATATTATTCATGGTGTATTTTCATAACATGAAAATACGCTTTTTTCATGAAATCATGAGTCATTTTTCTCATTTCGGAGATCGGATTTTTTCCCGTGTACCGAATGATCATCAGATCAACCAGTAGCTTGACAAAAAGAAGAAAATTCAAATTATATCATCAACAATATTCCAGTTGCTCATTTTCAATTTCTGATCAAACTTCACACTGCTGTTCTTCAACGGAACTATCAATTCGAAGCTTTCATCGATTTCATTATCCCTAGTTAGTTGTCAAATTTCCTTCTATATATTTAGTATCTGGAGATGCAGCAGTATAAAATATTTGCATGCTCACTAGTAGCACCTAGCGGCAGAGTTTAGAGTTGATCTGTCCTCCTCTCAGCGTTATTTGACCTCATGGTGAACTTTGCCGAAGACATCACCCTTCTATGTAATCAGGATCTTGAGATACAACAGCACATAATATTTGCATACTGGATGCTCACTAGCACCACCTAGAGGCAGAATTTCGAACTGATGTCAACCACCCAGCAGCCCTTGACCTCTTGATCAACTTTGCCGTAGATACTACCCTGCTATATAATCAGTATATGGACATACAGATGAACTGATTATTTGCATGCTCATTAGCGCCACCTAGCGGGAGAATTCTGAATTGAAATGACCAGCACCCAACAGCCCTTAACCCTTGATGAACTTTGCCGAAAACATCACCCCTCTATATAATCAGGATCTTGAGATACAGCAGTACAAAATATGTGTATGTTGAATGCTCACTACCACCGCCTAGCGGCAGAATTCTGAATTGATAAGTCCTCGTCCTATCAGTCCGTGGCCACCTAATCAACTTCGCCGAAAACATCCCCCTTCTATAAAATCAAGATCTGGAAGTGTATTAGTACATAATATTTGCATGCACACTAGCACTGTCTAGCGGTAGAATTACGAACTGATATGTCCACCTCCTAGTAGTCTTTCGCTTTCTGATCAACTTTACAAAAACATCGACCCCGTAATAATAAGGATCTTAAGATACAGCAGTACAGCATATGTGCATGTAGGATGCACTTCGATCTGGGTGGGCTCGGTGGGTTTCAGCAATACACTCCGATATGTTTACCAAGATTTAAATTCAGATCGTATGATTCTGAGTTTTGACCAAATTTAGAGCGACATGATGAAAGAAAATTAAAGACATATTTGAAGTTATGGTTTATTCAGTATTCATTCTGTTTTAAGAGATAATAATAATAAGAGAAGATACCATTTATAGCATGAACATGAGCATGAGCATGATTGACCGCTCAAAGATGCAACTCAGTTATTGCCAGATAAGCTGTAATTACACATAGAACCAATAGACGTTGCTTGAGACTAGCAATAATCCTCCATGTGTAAATAATGGTGATCAAACACTACACGCAAACCAAAAATCTATTACAATGAATGTTAGTTCCGTTTTCTATCATCCTCTGTTCATGAACATCGCAACGAATGTTAGAAATTGATCATGCAGGCGATGTAATGGTTTTTTGTCTTTTTTATTTCGTTTTCTATCAACGCTTTCGACTATACCAGTAAGCTTGTAAAACGACGCACATTGTAGAACATTGTAGAACGACGCACACACTTGCCTCGAATCTCTCCAGCAGAAAAAGCATACGAAGTCGAGTATGCGAGAAAATGAGCGCTTCATGTTTGCTTTTAGGCTATCCATATTCAGGAGCATGGAGAGAGCAGTGGAGAAAGCACAGGTCTGATAATCGAAGCGTTCTTGGTTCGAGTCCAGTCGGCAATCGGATTCCTATTTTTTCGGCATAACTAATTTACCTCACTAATACACTCTACATTTTTCGGTCTCCAATTTTCTTGCATTGGACCGCAGCTAGGTATATCGCATCCTCGGTTCATGCGGTCTGCACTAACATCCTCTGATGATGAATCCCACATAATTGTAAGCGAATCTTACATCCCTCGGTTGGGTGTAGGCAATACTAACGCCGGCCTCGTCCGAATGCTAGTTAAAAAAGGAATGGGTTGGAATATATTGACGTAATACTCGCTGGAATGAAAGCCGGGAAACACCTCTGCACTTTCACGAGAAATCACTGGGATGTTGGATAAAAGGGTTGGGAGTGCAGCAGGATTCATTTTGGTAAACAATATGCTGAATTGTTGTCCTAACGATTCAATATCGCGAAGGAGCTTGGGTTTGAACCCACGGTCTTCTGCTCAGTAAGCAAAATTGATCGCCACAAGTCCACCAAGCTCCTTATATCACAAATCAATTACGATCAAGTTACCGTTCAACTTGTTGTTACGAACGCCAATGTCAAGGAAACAATGTTTTTTTTTCACGAAATTTGAAACAATAACTTGTTTTTTGCATTTCTTCTTTTTGTTTTGTAATTCTTCTTAAAATACACTTTATCCAAGGATATTTTTATCTACACACTTAGAAATTTTTATTTTTAAACGAGACGTAATTCAGCTTTGACGTAAATCATGGAACGTAAACAAACATGGCATGTAAAATCAAGTGTCCTGAAACTGAAACATAAAGGGTGATACGGTCAAAATTTGGTCAAGGGAAAACGCGTGTAAATTGGTGAAATCGTTTATTTAAAAAATCAAATTAAATTTCTTTTTCAAGTTCAATTAGTATAAAATTCAGGAAAAATATTCAGTTAGGCTTCCGCTTTTCCAAATCCGAATTGCCGGGCCTTACGCTTGACCCCTGCCATCAGATTTTGTACAGCCACCTTGTCCACCTTCTTCGCCGCAGAAAGCCAGTTTGCCTTGAACTGCTGCTCGCCCTTAGCAGTTTTTTTGGTCTTCTTTAGGTTCCGCTTGACAATAGCCCAGTATTTCTCAATTGGGCGGAGCTCTGGCGTGTTGGGAGGGTTCTTGTCCTTGGGAACCACCTGCACGTTGTTGGCGGCGTACCACTCCATGGCCTTTTTACCGTAATGGCAAGATGCCAAATCCGGCCAAAACAGTACGGAACAACCGTGTTTCTTCAGGAAAGGCAGCAGACGTTTATTCAAACACTCTTTCACGTAAATTTCTTGGTTGACAGTCCCGGAAGCTATGAAAATGCTGCTTTTCAAGCCACAGGTACAGATGGCTTGCCAAACCAGATATTTCTTTGCGAACTTTGACAGTTTCATGTGCTTGAAAACATCTGCTACCTTTCCTCTTCCTTTTGCCGTATAAAACTCCTGTCCCGGAAGCTGCTTGTAGTCGGCTTTGACATAGGTTTCGTCGTCCATTACCACGCAGTCAAACTTCGTCAGCATCGTCGTGTACAGCCTCCGGGATCGCGCTTTGGCCGTCGTATTTTGTTTATCATCGCGATTTGGAGTCACTACCTTCTTGTAAGTCGATAGTCCGGCTCGTTTTTTGGCTCGATGCACGGTTGTAGACGATACACCCAGCTTATTTGCGGCATCTCGGAGAGAGAGGTTAGGGTTTCGCTTGAAACTACCGGCAACTCTCTTTGTCGTCTCAGCGGCTTCCGGTTTTCGATTTCCCCCCGATCCAGACTTCCTGGCTGTCGACAAACGTTCCCCAAACACTTTAATTACATTTGTAACGGTTGATTTGGCAACTTATAGCGATTTTGCCAACTTTGCGTGCGAGTAGCTCGGATTTTCGCGATGCGCGAGCAAAATTTTGATACGCTGCTCTTCTTGCTTGGACGGCATTTTGACAACTGAAGAGTGAATTCCAAAATCAAAATAGGAGCAACATTCTACACACACACACCTTCAAAATGAGGGGTGTTCAGGTCTTTTAAATGCAAAATTGAAAGAAATACGTCAAGTTGATATTGACCAAATTTTGACCGTATCACCCTTTATGCAACTCGACTTTTGCTTGAATTGATTTTCTCGTCCTTTTCAACTGATTCTTATGTCAAAAGGGCCGCTTGCATGTGTCGGTCTCAGGGCACTGAAATTTACATGTCTTTTTCGTAGTGTGAAGTTCGAATTTAGGAAATCTTTAATTATATAAGAACATGTACTAGAATTGCACTCGGAAGCCATTTGAGGGATTGATCAAGTTCACCCCATATCGATATTTTCAAATTTAAGAGCACAGGTGTAAACGGTGATTGCTTTTACTACATTTTAAGACCAACAATTGAAAGGGCTACACTTCTTTAAACAAATCTTGTAAGGTCATTCTCTCGCGAACCGAAATCTACTCAAACACAATCGGGTAGAGGAGGATTTCCCCTGCCTGTTCACACAAATTAATAGAATCATGTTGAGTAAACTGCTATTCAACCAAAGTTATCTAAACTGTTATAGCACAAGTGTGTATACACAAGGTTATATAAACTGTTATAGAACAAGTGTGTTGCTTGGGTATTTTGTTGGTTTGCGTTGGCGGACTTCGGTTCGCGACAAAATGGCCTTACAAGGTTTGTTTACAAAATGGATTTGAGGCCTTTTGAATTGTTGGTCTTGATTTGCTTCATTGTCGTGGGCTATAGTCTTTTTTTTCGTATACTCATGCTCTACCATCACCTCTCTCGAACAGCGTGAGCAGTAGAGAAATATTCGCGTAAACTGAAAGCTTTCAAATAACTATCATCAGAGTATGATAGCATTCTTATGATTTTGATGAGTAATTTTAATGGCTTATAATTGTTTTCATTCGAATCCCATTTACAGACTTGCACCGGAGAGTGTGTCCCGTACTACCTGTGCAATGATAATCAGATCATCACCGACGGCACTGGTATCATCGATATTCGTGTCGGCGAAGATATTGCTGTGGAAAATGAATGTCCGAATTACCTGGACACGTGCTGCGAAAAAGGAGATGTTCTAGAGGTACCTCCAGAGACTGCTACGAAAGCACCACCACCAAACAAGGAGTACTCTTGTGGACAACGTAACCCCGATGGTCTCGGATTCAGAATCACTGGCAACAAGGATGGTGAATCAGAGTACGGTGAATTCCCATGGATGGTGGCTGTTCTACGAGAGGATAAGGTCATGGATTCCGTTTTGAATGTGTACGAATGTGGTGGATCCCTAATTGCACCGAACGTGGTTCTAACTGCTGCCCATTGCGTTGCCAACAAGCAGCAGGATACTTTGCTGGTACGAGGAGGAGAATGGGATACCCAAACCAGGAACGAACTTTATGCTCATCAGGATCGCCGCGTACTCGAGGTTATTTCCCATGAACAGTTTAACAAGGGCTCGTTGAAAAATGATGTAGCCCTGTTGATTTTGGACCAGCCATTTGATCTTGCCGAGAATATTCAGCCAGTCTGCTTGCCGCCAAACAATCACAACTTCGATGGCAGTAAATGTTTCGCTTCCGGATGGGGAAAGAACGTTTTCGGAAAGGAGGGCAAATATCAGGTCATCTTGAAGAAGGTTGAGCTGCCAATTGTACCTCATAAAACCTGCCAGAATTCTTTGCGTACGACACGATTGGGTCTTCGTTTTATTCTGGATCGTAGCTTCACATGCGCTGGAGGTATAAACGGTCAGGATACCTGCCGTGGCGATGGAGGTTCTCCACTTGTGTGTCCAATTCCTGGAAATCCAACGAAATACTACCAGGCCGGTATCGTTGCTTGGGGTATTGGTTGCGGTGAACAGGGAATTCCTGGAGTTTACGCAAATGTTGCAAATTTCCGCGGCTGGATCGATCAGCAGCTATCAAAGCGTCAAATTGAAGCAAAACACTACACATACACTTAAATTAAATTAAAGTTTCATACGACATTTTATTGACATTTTTAAAGGATAGACTAAACTGAAATAACAATGAAAACAAACAAATAAATAATTGTGTTCTTACATTCGTGGTTGTAATATCATTTAAAGTCATTATTAGATATATCAGTAGAACTGAGGTTTAACATGTTTCTCAAGTCGTTCGAAGCTAAAATAAACGAATCGTGAATCCTTACGATCATGAGTATAGTTTGTAAGCCCACGCCTAACCTAAATTGCCTAAATCCAAAACTTTCCTATAAGCGATCAACACACCAACCTACAAGTATTTGAAACCTCATTTATCTAGCTTGTTATGGTCTTTTTGTGGCCCTGATTGAGACCAGAAGAAAAAATCTGAGCCAAAGAAAATGTTCAAGGTAGATATTTTAGAACTATTAAATTTGAAGAATTTTGATGAGAAATCATAAGAGATTTTTTTTTTCATTCCTGGGAACAACATTTCCGGATTTACAATTTCCCGATTAATTTAAAGTAATTCAAATGTTGCTTTCGTTTCAGTAGAACTTCATATTCTTCTATGACATTAATCATTAGTGTGCTTTACACTGAATGGTTCGTTCAAACTTCCAACACTTCCAACTTCTTCAGCATGTTTCTTAAAACTTGTAAGTTCCTCGATTGATTTAAATTATCCCAGAATTTGACATCTTCGGAAGATTCTTCCGACTTTCTTGATTAATCTTTTTGGCTTCACATGGAAATGTCTTCTGGTTTGCCTTAAAGCTATTCTTGGCCTCCTCCGTACATTTCTTCTGGCTTTCCTCAGAAAATTCTTCGCACTTCTTCTGGAACATTTTTCCGATTTACCTTAGAACATCTTCAGATTCCTCTGGAAGTTAATCCAAACTTTTTCTTCAGTAGGGTAGGAAACACAGCAATCATCCTATGAATTCTCGACATTTTGAGACCGATTCGAGTGTAAACATGGAACCAGATTTTTAAAGGTGGTATACTAGACTGGCCAAAAAAATAAAAGTTCTATTTTTCCATGCGTTAACCCCTAGATTTGATCCATTAGGTGGGAAAACTTATATCTGATAGTTCAAGCTCATTTGGTTCTAAGATGAGATGGCGCTTTTAATTTGAATTTTGTATGGGAAATTTGGATCAACACCACTCAACACTACACTCTATCGATCATAATAAAGTTTCGTTATTCTTGATTTTATTCAGATTTTCAAAACTTGCAGTTCAATTAATGAGTAAGAACTTTGCTAAAGATTGTATCATGAATCCAGTTAGTTTTATTGAGATATTCACTTTTGAATGTAGGGGAAATGCAGGTAATGTCGGCCTAAGTGTCCCTAATTTGGGCCCATACATAAATTCAGCAATCGACTAAATTTTCAACAGCGACCAAAAATATCCATTAGTACCGTCCCAATGACGCGTTCATCTAGATACAATTGATAAATAGCAGATTTTTAGCGATGGGCCCAAACCTAGATCCATAGGCCTTTACCACACAAAAATAATAGAACCTATTTTTATAAGGCAATAAAAACTATTGTAGCAACAATAAACGTAATTGTCAAAAACAGCAAAAATACAATAGAACTTATTGTTATGTATGATATAATCTATTATTAATGAGACATTTACAATAGAAAAGCCCCCCTTGTTAGTTACCGTAACAAAAAAAAATTTCTCCAACAAATTTGATCTTATTACAATATTTTTTATTGTTTTTTTACTGTGCAAAATTTTGATTTTATAGAATTTTTTGTAATACTATTGTGGTGACTAATGGATTATTTGACCAATACAATATAATTACAATAAGATTAACGTTCAACAATACAATCTATTGTATTTTATTTATATTTTATTGTAATTTTATGGTTATTTTTATCCGGGAAGGCTTTGATGTAATCAGTTTTTCGAAGAAGTCGTCTCCACTCTACTCGATCCATGGTCACACGTCACCAGCCTTGTAGCCTGCGAATGGTCCGCAGGTCGCCTTCAACATAGCTTCAATAAAACGCTAATAACTTTTCAGGATCAACTAGGATCGTCTTCCGATCTTGGACAAACTGGTTATGCTTATAATATTCTATAATAAAGTCTTTAACGTGCAAAAATTGGTCAACTTGAAATTGGTGTATTTCTGTTAAAAATGCATTAAAAAATCCTGAAAGGTATACAATGGTTGCTATGATGAGTTTTCACCGTTTGCTCTGCAGTTTTCAAAATGACGTCCAAGCAAAAGGAGCAGCGTGTCAAAATTTTGATCGAGCAGCAAGAGAATCCGACGTTCTCACACGCCAAGTTGGCAAAATTGCTGGATGTGGCCAAATCGACCGTGACAAATCTTTTAGTGTTCAGGGAGCGTCTGTCGACCACCAGGAAGCCTGGAAGCGGCGGGAATCGTAATCCGTACGTGGTAGCGACGACGAAGAAGGTGGCGGTGAAATATAAGCGGAATCCTAACCTCTCCATTCGGGACGTCGCTGGCAAGCTCAATGTCTCCCATACTACTGTGCACCGGGCCAAGAAACGAGCCGGGTTGTCGACGTTTAGGAAGGTGAAGGTGGCGAACCGAGATTACAAACAAAACGCGTCGGCAAAGCAGCGGTCCCGAAAGTTGTATACGAATCTGCTCACAAAGTTCAACTGTGTCGTCATGGATGACGAAACTTATGTGAAGGCAGATTTCAAGCAGCTTCCGGGGCAGGAGTTTTATACCGCATCAGGAAAAGGGAAGCTGGCTGAATTTTCAAAACCATCAAACTATCGAAGTTCCCGAAAAAATATCTCGTCTGGCAGGCCATATGCACGTGTGGTCTAAAAAGCGGCATTTTCATTACTACGGTAACCAACAATCAAGAGATCTACGTCCAGGAGTGCCTGGAAAAGCGGCTGCTACCATTCCTAAAGCAACACAATAGACCTGTGCTGTTCTGGCCGGACTTGGCGAGCTGCCACTATGGGAAAAAGGCAATCGAGTGGTACGATGCGAACAACGTGGTTGTGGTACCCAAAGACCACAACCCTCCCAACAGCGTAGAACTCCGCCCTATCGAACGGTATTGGGCCTTGGTCAAACGGAATCTCAAATAAACTAATAAATCCATGGAAAACGAACAGCAGTTTAAATCTAACTGGCGTTCAGCGGCGAATAAGGTCGATGAAACTACTATGCAAAATTTAATGGAGGGGGTTAAGCGTAGGGCATGGCAGTTCGGATTTGGCAAACCAAAAGAATAAACGAACATTTTTTCCTTTAAATATATGAATTGAATACCACCAATAGAAAAATAAAAAGATTTTTGTGATATGAATTTTGACTGAAAGAAACGATTTTTTTGTCGACCAAATTTACGCGTTCCAGTCTTAAGTATTGGATTTGGGGATGTGGTATAGTGGTAAGCGTGACTGTCTCTCACTCCTAAGCACCACCGAGATTTACTGGGGCATAAAATCTGTAATCACTGCTTCCTGCGGAAGGGAAGTAAAGCCGTTTGTCCCCGGTCCATGAGTTAATGGGTCGATAGGTAGTGTCCAGGTGTGGGAGCTGCCTCCCATACATCGGTAGCAGTGGAACTCAGCACGGAAAGCAAGATCGATGAAAACAAAAACAATTTAAAATCAACTTGGAAAAAAATAGCTTGAAATGGGTAAATGTTGACAAATTTTGAACAAAGCCTCAGGATTGCATAGAAAACTATTGGTATTATGGCTAGGAGGGAGGATCATGTTTTAGACGCCTTAATGACGTCTTATGTTAGGAGAGGGGTTTTTATTTGTATGTAATTCAAATTTAATTTAAAAAAAATTCTCTGAATTTCAGTAAAATCACCATAAATGTGTGTATATTTCAAAAGTTCTAACTTTTTGTTTTACAAAACCGTTTAAAAATTCTAAAATTGGTTGAAAAGTTATTGAGTTACTCTGGATAATTAATTGATTTTTTCAAAATAGCTTTATATTTTGGGGGTGATCAAACAATTTCAAATGTGGTTTCATGGTGTATTCCACTAGACTTACAACCTACAATAGGTCAATATTTTGTTTTATTTTTTACATTGTGTAATCATTCGGATTATCCAACAGGAAATTGATTTTTTTCTGAAGCACTATCCTTATTTCGACTGTTAGTATTCATCATAGGTAATCATATACGTTAACCATTTCTAGGGATCGGCATACCAGTGCAGGAAAAAATATTTCTTGAGCGTTTCTTATCCTATTCATGTGCTGGAAGATAAAGTTACTTTGCAACTACCCCAAAGCTATAACCTTGAATCAAATTTGCCTCTGCCCATAAAACGATCATAGTTTTTGTCAGGTCCATAGCTCTGCAGCTCTATCAACAAGTTTAAAGAAGCACCACTAAAATTGGTCACTCGAGGAAAGTCAAGGTAAGCATGTTTCAATATCGTTTCACAGATGACACCAAGCGCACGTAGGACGATCGTCAACAACGGGACGGAAAGCTTATCTACCCCAATTAATCGCCAAGTGTTTCGTTATTTTGAATGCGCATGTGAAATCTTCTGGATTATTTTAGTAATATGTTGGCAGTAAAATAAAATTAAATTGTTCAATTAAGATCCATTCAACTTCATGTTATTTTCAGCGCAAATTATAGCTTATGGTAAACGATGAACAATGGGATTCCCGATGATTAATAATCACTGTCTGTAATAAGCTACAACCGGTGAAGATAGCAATCGACCTTCGGTTAGGCGTCATAGAATAAGCAACGGCGTGCTCCTAACAAAACAAAAATCATTCAACATGGTTAAGAATAACATCCAAAAGCGAAGCCGATGAAAAAACTTTTCACCTGCATTGACGAAAGTGTTATTAAACTTTTACAGAAACCACCGTGAATCTCAAAATTGAGCGTACATCTGAATGAACAATTGCTTGAAAATCTATGAATAGATAGATTTTTTATATCATGGCTGGTGATTGAACAGTTGTTTATTGATTAATCGGTATTGTTTTGGACTTTATTGGCAGAGCCTGTATGATTTTTGAGTAAAACCCTCAATGTTCAACTTTTTTTCTTCGAAGTACATGGATTTTAGTAAAATTATCGGCATTATAACATTTCTACAAATGAGCAAAATTAAAAAGATATGTTCATTGTATTTCTAGAAATTGTAGTTTTTTGAAAAACAAGGCTTTTTTTTCTAAAAGAGCTCTAACTTCTTACACACTCAACCAATGCTATACCGACAACCGATGAACTACCTTTTTAATTTGTGCTCACACAGTTGTTTTTCCAAAATTTAAGGACAGTTGAATGCTCAATTTTGAGATACACTGCAATCTTGGGTCATTAACACATCAACGCCTTTTTTTTACTCAATATTACCAGAAATTTGGAAAGCCTCGTTTTTTTGGTGCCTATTTTGAAATTTGTCTCGAAATCTGACATCCAAAATTACTGTGGAATTGCCATTATATCTTGCATTCCAAAACTTTTTGAATCTGTCATAAACGACAAAATTTATCAACAAGTAAATAACCAAATAACAAGTCAAAGGCTTCTTCAAGGGCCACTCTACTGCTTCTAATCTTCTAGAGTTTGTCTTTTTTACACTGAATGCCATGTAAAATGGTAACCACGTAGAAGCTCTTTACACTGACTTCAGTAAAGCATTTGACCATTATTGCTTTTCAAGCTGCAGAAAGTAGGAATGAAAGCTGGACTTTTGAACTGGCTCCAGTCCTACCTAACAAATTGTACGCTTTCAAAATAAACTTTCAGAACCAATTCTAGTCATCTCTGGGGTCCCCCAGGGATCTCATTTGGGCCCATTTATTTTTATTTTGTTCGTAAACGACATTTCCTTCATACTTAAGAACATTAAAGTACTTGTGTATGCAGACGACATGAAGCTCTTCAAAGAAATTAGAAATGCCTCCGACGCAGAAATATTCCAGAATGAAATAAATCTATTCTATAGCTCGTGCAGTAAAAGTCTACTCCAACTCAACGTAAACAAATGAACGCAATAACATTTAGTAGAAAAAGTGGAATCTCTTGCATAAACAAACATTAAGGAAACAAAATCGCAGACGAATGCAAATTAAGAGATTTAGGCGTAATACTGGACATTAGACTGATGCAAAATTTGACTTTTTCGCTTCACAGTGCTTAAATGGTTTCAAATCGGGTCCTGATTAGCCTCCAAAGTTACAACTCATTTGGTTAGAAACAGACTTCGCACAAGCCATTTGAAGTTTACATGTAAATTACTATGGGAAATCTCAACTTTCTGTTCATTGCCTTCTAGTCTTTTTCCATATTGAGCTACGAAACAGTTCGATAGCCATTCTTATAAACAATTTTCTCAGCTACAACTTTGCTGGAGACCGTTTCTATGTAAAACGAGACAGGAAAAAGTGATTAATTATTTAAGAGGTTGGTAAACTTATGACATGATCAAGCAGCTGCTCTGTAGGCAACACTGCATTTTGCAGTGTGACATAGTAGCCATGATTTTTGTGTCCTATTCAACGCCCCAGAAACACCAATGTTGCCTGCTGAGCAGTTGATTGAGCATGATCATAAGACATCAGCGCATTGAATCATTGATAACTTTCGATCCTTGCATTTAATCAAAATGTAATCGTCAGCAAAGTTGTAGCTGGGAAAATTTCCTACAAGCACAGTTGAAATTTTTTGAAGCAGACTTATATGGTGAATTATTAGGTAGACATGAACAAAAATCTTGGTTTTACCATAGTAATTCCCATACAAACTTCAAATGGTTTGTGCCATCTCAGTTTCTCACCAAATGGGTTCAAATTTAGAGAGGTTAGTCAGGATCCGATTTGGAATCGTTTAAGTATTGTGGAGCGAAAATTTCAAAATTTGCATCACTCTACTGGACATCATAGTTACATTTGTAGAACTTTATAACACTATCATAAGCAAATCAAATAACATGCTGGGCTTCATTAAGAGGTTCAGGTAAAATTTTCAGAACCCATACGCTATAAAATTACTGTACATTACATATGTACCTATTCTGGAATACTGCCACGTAGTATGAAGCCCATACCCATAGCTCAAAAACATTTTCATTTGTATGCTCTTCGACGTCTAAATTGGACGACATTTTCTCTACCATCCTATGTAGCACGCTGCATGCTCATCAATCTACACTAATGGAACAACGTGAATTTGCAATAACAATACTCTCTCAACTATATTTTTATGCGCCTTTCAGACCTCTTAGAACTCGAAATTTATTCTATGAAAACACTTGCAGAACAAATTAGGCAAAAAATGGACCCACCATTCGAATGATGCGCCTATATAACATTAATTACGAAGAAATTGACATAAGTTTGTCCAGAAACCAAATAAAAATTCGGCTAAGAAGAAATAGAAATAATGCATAGCATGTGAAAAAAAAAACATTGCACTACTTTGCTTGACGAAATAAATAAATAAATAAAAGAAGGTCACATCAACGCTGATGGATGACTGGAAGGCCATCGCCGAAGTGCTGCATATATTGAAGGTCCCTGACTACCTGTGCAAGATCCTGAGGAGTTATTTTCAGAACCGGGTACTGGTCTACGAAACATACATGGGACAGAGATCGATTAGAACCACAGTGGGAGTTCCACAAGGCTGTATCCTTGGTCCAATGCTCTGGAACGGGGTGTACAACGGCGTGCTAACACTTAAGCTACCCAAAGGAGTTGAGATCGTTGGCTTTGCGGACGACGTCGTCTTGACGGTAACAGGCGAGACGCTGGAAGAGGTAGAAATGTTGACGACCGAGATGATCGACATGATTGGTAATTGGATGCAAGGAGCGAAGCTACAGATAGCTCACCACAAAACGGAAGTGCTATTGGTCAGAAATCACCGTCGGGGAGCACGCCATAACCTCGAAGCGTGTGTTGAAATACCTGGGAGTGATGATCGATGACCGGCTAAACTTCAACAGCCACGTCGAATATGCCTGTGAGAAGGCGGCAAAAGCCTAAAGCTAAAATCATGCCGAACAACTCTTATCCCACACACTTAGAAAAATCAATGTAAATTTAGGTGTTGTGAGAGTGACATATACGAGCGTCAATTTTGACATAAATTTGAGTCATAACAGACGCGAAATTCAACTCAATCAAACGTACATTTCGTCGAGTAACGAACTTTAAAGTTCACTTAATTTTATATGAAATATTTGATGACGTCTGATTCCCTCTGATTACTAGGCTTACCCTCTCTGATAAACCACTGCATGAGAGAACCAAAGATCTAGTCTAGCAGTGATAGTATCACACTTGTTACTCCTTTAATTGAGAGCCGCGTCGTAGTACGCTTACGTATAGGCACAGACGTTGGGTGTGATACTGGCGGGTTTTGCCGCAAATCACTCTTATTTTATTTATTTTTACGCAGATAGATTTATTTGGGTTTGCAAGGGAACTATACTATTGAAATATTTCAGAAAGTGCCCAACGGTGATCCTTCTATTTGCGTGACAAGCTTTCATTGAAGTATTACTCAGGAAACAATGTTAAATATCATTTTTGTACATGGTATTGTAACTAATCTTATATGTGCTTCATTTTGATTTGGGATAAGTTGGAGATGACCTAGCCTAAGGCTAAAAATCTCTTTAATAAAGACTTTAAAAAAAAAAAATTGGGATAAGTGTTTGAACTATGGCTCGGGATTTCCACTGTGGCGTGATTCTATTGTGACATACCCAAACGTATTTTTGTGGTGCGACATAGTGGAAACGTGTGAGCATAGTTGGAGCATATACCCTATATAATTTAAAAATCAGCTAGAAAACTAACTTCAAAATGAAGCATTTTAGTCACATGAAGGAAACGGCGCCGGTGGTGTAGTGGTAAGCGTGATTACCTCTCACCCCAGCAGGCCTGGGTTCAATCCCAGTCGGCGCCGCCGTGATGTTCTGAGGCATAACATCTCTGATCACGCCTTCCTTCGGATGGGAAGTAAAGCCGTTGGTCCCCGGTTCATGAGTTGATGGGTCGATAGGTAGGGTCCAGGTGTGGGAGCTGCCTTCCTGGCACGTCGGTAGCATTGGTGCTCAGCACAGAAAACAAGATCGACGGAAAAAAACAAACCAAAAGGAGTCACATGAAGGTTATCTGGGTCGAACTAAGATATAATGAATAGGTATAAATCAAAAGTACTTGAAACACGTTTAATTTTAGATTACAATCACTAGTGCAGGTACTTGATAAAGCATGGGTTATGATTTATTAGGTGAATTAGAGCTTTTAATAATTTATTAAATTAGACTAATGAGATATCATAATCATCAAATGAACTTAAATAAGAAACTTCAGAAAGTCTAATGACATTAAGTAGATTAACAAAATAATTAGGATGCAGGGGGTCCGCTTAGGGAGGCAACTAACCTTTAAAGTTGTAGAATAAATCTTCTTATTTAGTCTTGAACTTTAAAAAGAAAACGCAGGCAGACCAATAGCATTAAGCAGATTAACAAGGAGAGGAATAGTTTAGGAAATAAGTAAAAGTAGAGGTATGTGACAATTAATAGCTTTTAAACTTTTGGAGGTATTGTATTCCCCTGAGTTTGTTGTACTCGATTACTATATTATTGTCTCAATACGCGAAATCTCTGATATATGCGGTTAAAGCATTTGAGTTAACTTATTTCTTAGTGTTCAAGTACTAACATTTTTAAACAGCAGTCAATGTTAATCTATGAACTAAACCCTACGTAAAATCGATCTTTCCTTGTGTGAAATTGATGCATGTTTAACTTTTCGCGGCTATCGGAATCAACGCGCCCACGTCTACGGAGCTTATGCAGAAGTGATTCGCAATGCGGTAGAGCTCACCAAAAGTTTTTTTGAGCTTCTGTAGTATAGCATTTGTTCGGTACGGTCGCGAAATCTTGAAATGATTGATACGTGTGCTAAAATAACTAAATTGAAACAAAGCTCAACTGTTAAATAAGTAGAATATTTAGGGAGGAAACCAAAATTAATCAACTTGCCAACATAGGCTATCACATTTATTTTGGTGACACTCTTTAAATGGTAATAAGCCTTTTTTCTCGCTTCGGTTGTCTCGCACGGCTTTCGGAATTCGCGCGTAACTTACATAATTTAGATATTTCGTTCGAAACGGTTTTACTTATTCAATCGGTTTACTACGTGGATGTATCTACGCGCACACGTCACAGCATTTTTTCTATAACTATCTTGAAACAATGTATACGGAATCCAGTGTTCAAGCGGCCAACATAGGCTAGTCCTTCTGCTGTATTGTCAAAGATAGAAGCAACATTTATTCAAATGGGTCAAGTCTTGAAAACTAAGCTGTCACGCAGCTCCAGCTTGATACCCAATAAAAAAAAATATTTGTTGACGTCTGATCCTTTATGTCAAAGATGGATTCCGTCACGTGTAAAATTAGGTATTTCAAAGTGTTTGGAATTACCCCTATTGACATCACCCTGGCGGAGGACAGCGAGTGCTACAGGTTGTACAGAAGCTGGACGAGTACGGAAAGTTGTGAGAGCAGAGTCGTTAGCTAAATGGCAACAGGAGTGGAACACGGTGGATAACGGTAGGTGGACACATAGACTAATACCAATTCTTTTGACCGGGGTGAACATGAAACACGGAGAAGTCAACTTTCACCTAACGCAGTTCCTGTCTGGCCACGGCTGCTTCAGGAAATGTCTGCATTGCATCTCCTTGTCCGGAGTGTTTCAACGTGGACGAAACTCCGGAGCATGTGACTGTCTAAGGTTCAAGGCAGTGCGAAGGGAGATGCCCGTTCTTAACGTGGAGAATGTCGTCGATGAAATGTGTCGAGAGGAGGGCTCTTGGAATGTCATCAACAGAGCAGTAACGCAGATTATGTTGTTGCTGTGACGTAAATGGAGAGAGGAGCAGCGATCTAGCAACGCCAGCTTGACATGTGCATGAGCTCAGCCAACCCCCGAAGTAGTCGTTTCACCGTGGTCCTGGGCGGTCCTGGCAGGGGAGAGAGTAAAAAATGGGTTTTAGTGGAGTTGAACTAGGCAGTAGATACCACACCGTGTCAACTTCACTACAGGTCAGGCTTTTTGAAGCTTTCTTAAACATTACAGCTTTCAATATGCTCAAGATCGCTCATACCTAAGACAGTGAACAAACGGTGCAAAACAACTTTATTGACCGTAGAGCAATTTAACTTCTAAACAAACACTTATGGACCATATGATATTCGAAGGTTTTATAAAAGCTAAGTAAGCTTAAGAAATAAATTGCCCATAACCGCTTATCAGTTCGATCTTTTCTTGATTTCCTATTCATATAGGACAGTTATGCGCTTATTGGTAGTATAAGGAGTGGAAGTCACGCGTTGTTGTAAGTCTCATAAAATATTGACATGAATAGCATTATTCACAAAAATTATTTACGAAAATTGGAAAAATTTGCGATGAGAGAGATAATATATAAATTAATTTTGTTGTAATAAAAATACAAAAAAAAAATAATTTTATGGTAATTAAATTATGATTCACAAGTCAAACCAATGGCTTTTATGTCGATTTAAAAAAGCTACAATCGTAACAGTCGAAAAATTACAAAACATCTGAAAAATGCAGTGCTATATCCCATCGTATTAATCCATTTCGGTATGTTTAAATACTTACTAACATTCTTTAGGAAACGATTGGCGGTGTAACAGTGGTGCATAGCGAAAATCGAACATCCGATCTACTACGTCTGGTATTAATTGCACACTGGCTTCTCCTAAACAGTTCCACCGAATATAAGATCACTCTACTCGTGGTCAAGGTCTTGCCTATATTTGATTGTTAATTTATATTGACACGTTTGTGAAAGTAAGGATGGGCCCAACATAGCGGTTAGCATCCATGACGGTCACTTAAGGTTGTTAATCGATATCGTTGATGTCTGCAAAGGTGAATTTGCATTGCAGATGTTATCCACGGTTTTCGATTTACAACCCTTCTCTCTCTGTAAAGGTTACGAGTTCAAGTCTCATCCCCAGACGATTCATGAATGAGTTTAAGTGCTATGAAAGACTATAAAAAAAAATCAAAATCAATAAATCAACTTGTGTGAGAGACCTGTTGATTGTAAGAGAAGAAAGAAACAAATATAATGCTTGAAACTCTAGGTGGACCGCAAGTTGGATTTGCACTAGATTGTTGCCCGGATATTGTCATGGAGATCATTAGTATCCAACGTCCTTTTATATTTGGCCATTTACATACTGATGTTTTGGAGAATTGCCATGGTTAACCCCAAGTAACTTAAACGAGTTTTATTCCCACCGCTACAAAATCGATCTTTATAGCCTTGGAATTTGGATGAGTGCTTTGTAGTTCCCCGATGAATGGTTATGACAATGAGTTTATTTTATTTCTACAAAAATTGGACACGATAAATACGGTTGCCTTTAAAAAATAACCTGAAAAAATGTCCTCGATCAAAAACATTATGTTACAGAGGTCCAAAACTACCGAGGTCTGTTTTAATCCTAAATCCACTCAGATAAATGCGTTCGGAGAATCTAATTTAGTCACACAGAACAACTGCTCTGTCCATATTCAAGTTCAATAGTGTTTGATCCAGTATCGTTGTCTTTGGATCTTATTATCGATTCAAACAATTTTTGTCCGGCTACTCCTCTCTTTAGATCATATTATGGAACAGTCTTTCTGATTCCTAATCCATTTTACGGTTATGATATTCAAGGTTCATGAGTCTGTATAGTTAGCGTTTAACATGATGCTAGTGATAAGACGGTAACTCCCATATCTGCT